GACATGTGAGCCAAGGCTTGAATTGTCAACCTCTTGGGATGGCAAGTGGATAATGGTGGAAAACTATGACTCTTTGCCATCCATATCTAACCTATCAATCCACTTTTCTGTTTACCCTCCAGCGAAAGGATGGCACGGTTTAATTTATGGAAAGGGTATGTGCTCCAGGCTACCTTTTAGCTATCATTGCCCAATACACCAAAATAAATCCTGTTCTCAACTGTGACTATATTAGGGCCGACTAACAAGAACCCTTTTATCAATCCTACAAGAACCCAAAGGGTCTTCACACTATGGATCCTATATGCCAAGCACGAGCATCCCAAACATTTGAGAAACCTAGAGGATACAAGACTGATGATATTTACCCTTACTAGAGGACAGTGTTTTTTTCCCTCAACCCAGGCACCCTATAATCTTGATTGACCTACTGAATGCCCAGAAGCTACATTTTCATTTTATTTTTACACCAGTCACATTTTAAAAGGTAAAGAGGTGGCTTGAATTTTACATCTCAAACTTCAGCCAACATTTGTAATTCTCTGAGTATCCACTTCAAACTAGTTAACTCTAAAATATGGACCTAACCGGAATTTATTCAGGAGCCCCGGTGGCACAGTGGTTAAAGTGTTCACAGTGAGACTAAGATGTGGCAGTCTGCTTCCATAAAGATGTACAGCCTTGGAAATCCTATGAGGTAGCTCTGCTCTGTCCTATATGGTTGTATATGAGTTGGAATAGACTTGATGGCGGTGGGCTTTTGGTTTGGGATCTATTTCTAATGTGTTTATTAATCATGCTATAAACGGTGGCTACTTTTCATTCATTTGAACTTCACTATTAGTTTTTTAAAATAGCAATTTTACAAATTTTGTTGTTGTTGAGCAGGACATAGCCCAATTCAGTAGTTTCTACATGTTCAATTTAGTGACACTGATTACCTTCGTGTTGTGCCACCATTCTCAGCCTCCTTCTCTGAACTGTTCCTCCCTCATTAATATAACCTCACTGCTCCCTAGGTTCCTATCTAATCTTTCAAGTTGCTGTTGTTACTTTGATCCTACAATGACAGTCCTGAAAACAGCACAATGCTCAAGGCAGACATTTTTCACTAGTTAAGCTAAACCACTGTTCAATTTTAAGATGACTTCAGGGGATATCTTTGTTTTAAGGTTTAAAGATCATCTCAGGGCAACAGCTTCAGGGGTTCATCCCTCCACCATGACCCCAGAAAGTCTAAAGTCCATTAGAATTTTATATTCTGTTCTGCATTTTACCCTTTTTGATTAGGTTTCTTCTATAGAATCTTTGATCAAAATGTTCAGTGGTGGTAGCTGTGAGAGTTGGAGCTGTGTGTCAACTTGGCTGGACCATAATTCTGTGTGATTTAAGCAATTGTGATGTGGGTTGTTCCAATGATGGGATCAGATGTATATGTTTGAGCAGCCAATTCACTGAAAGGGGGTTTCCCTAAGGGTGTGGCTTGCTTCCAGTATATTTATGGACATCCTGGGGAAAGAGACACTCTTCTGTGGTTTGGGATTCTGCCTACAACTGTCCGTGAGCAAATAATCCACCATTCAGCCTGGAGATCTTGGATTCATCATTCTTTGGGAGTCAACAGCCAGTATACTGCCTGCCAACCTTGAGCTCCTCAGCCCCTGCAGCTACGTGAGTCCGGAAAAGCCTCCAGCTTGATGTTTGATCCAAGAATTTGGGACTTGCCAGCTTCTATAAGTGTGTGAGCCAT